TTCCGGTTGGTTGCGCTCCGGGGACGGGGACGGCGAGGAGGGGAGGGGAGGGTCCGCGGTGGAGTGCGTCGGTTAATCGGCTGCTCTGTTTTTTTTTTTGTTTTTTTTTTTGAGGGTGGCTGCTCTGTTTTTGGAGGGGACACGACAAAGGGAAGCAGGGGAATGGATTAGGATGAGGAGGATCCATCTGGATGATGACACCCTATTAATATCTCCTGCAAAATGTTGTCCACCAATATCTCTTTTTCTTTTGCAAATTAAAATAAATTAAATTACGCCATTTATGGGGTGGTAAAATGAAAACACCCCATTGACTATCCTTGAAAAAAAAGGCACCACATTGATAACTCTTGAAAGTAAAATTTTAAAAACCATCAATATGGGCTCGTTCGGTCCGCAAGATTTTTCTAAGAATTTCCATGGATTTTCAACCCTCGAGATCTTGTTTCCATGTATGTATGATATCTGTTTCATAGGAATGGAGATACTGGATTCCTTGCAATTGTGTCCATATTGACCTAATTTCTAAGTATTCTTAGCATTAGGTGAGGAGACTTCATGAAAAAAAATCTTGAAGGTTTGAGAGGAGAGGGCACCCGAACCTTACTTTTCCTATTCCTTTAATTTGGAAATCTCGCAGCTCTTCATGGATCCGATAAATTTTGAGTGCTCTCAATGACACAAAGTGTAATATATTTGTGCGGTTTGCATTTAAGACATGTAAAAGACGAAACATTTCGTTGTGACCGTGCAGTGATATTCTTATTTTCACATTGTCGTTGCCAAAGAAAAGTATTGGCATGTTGACATCGTATGAAAGGTGGTTTGGTAGAAAAATTTATATGATTTTCAATTTGGAGGGGACACGACAAAGGGAAGCAGGGGAATGGATTTGGATGAGGAGGATCCGTCTGGATGATGACACCCCATTAATATCTCCTCCAAAATGTTGTCCACCAATATCTCTTTTTCTTTTGCAAATTAAATTAAATTACCCAATCAATCAATGGAGGGTAAAATGAAAAAAAAAACATTGAGTATCCTTGGGAGAAAACACCACACTGAAACTCTTGGATTTTTTTAAAAAAAACCAACAATATGGGATCATTCGGTCCGCCGTGTGGGTAAATCGTCATAGTTTCCTTTCTATCCGTTAGATATAGATCGAATGGCCTATATTGCTGGAAGATCTCTTTAAGAATTTTCATAGAACTGCAGCCCTCAAGACTTTGTGTTCCATGTATGATGTTTGTTTCGTAGGAATGGAGATACTGGATTACTTACAATTGTATCCCTAATGACCTAATTTCTAAGTATTCTTAGCATCAGGTGAGGAGACTTCATGAAAAAAATCTTGAAGATTTGAGAGGAGAGGGCACTCGAACCTTACTTTTGATATTCCTTTAATTTGGAAATCTCGCAGCTCTTCATGGATCCGATAAATTTTGAGTGTTCTCAATGACACAAAGTGTAGTATGTTTTGTGCGGTTTGCTTTTAAGACATGTAAAAGACGAGACATTTCGTTGTGACCGTGCAGTGATATTCTTATTTCCACATTGTCTTTGCCAAAGAAAAGTATTGGCATGTTGACATCGTATGAAAGGTGGTTTGGTAGAAAAATTCATATGATTTTCAATTTCGTAGCACAGGGAAATAAATATAAAATCTAGGATTTCGTAAACTTCTCTGTGAAATCTATTACATTATTAAAGCAACGAAGTCACAATCTTAAATTATCATTTTTTAAATATAATTCCAACATGAAGATTGATAGACATAAAGACAGTGATAAACATTAAGTCTCAAGAGGATTTCCAAAGGGAAATTGTTCCACATGATGTCCAATGACTATTATTTTCGTCGGGATTCAGATTTTCAAAAAAAAATGATCTAAACCAGGCCCAAATGGCTGCTATTAACATGTTGGTAATGGTAAACTATATTTGACGCTCGCTATGTCAAATGGTAGGCAAGACGTGCTTCACCCATTTTTATGGGTCAACCTCAACCCATCTTTGCGATTCACCTATGTTTCTCGGCATGTACAACAGTTGGTTTTCTCTCAAAAAATATTTTTTTCTCGCATTTTCATTTGTTTACTTTTGGCTCTTTGTTTTTCTTCATATTTTAATGTTATGTAATTTTTATACTTTTTTCCAAACACACAATGAATATATTTTTTACATACATGATGAGTATTCCTTAACATACAATGAAAAATTTACGAAATACGTGATGAACATTTTTCAGATATGTTTAAAGAGAATAGTATAATTTTCAATTCTTCAGCTGGTTACCAAAATTTGTAAGATTTTTTTAAAAAAAATTGCAATAAAAATTTCTAATAATAAAGAATGAAATTATTGGACAATACTATGAGCGGTCATATAGGAGAAGCGTGAACGACTATAACGTACCCAGGGCGGCGCGGGAGCTATTTATCACTTATTGTGAGATGTTAGGGCGCTACTATACCTCGCCTCTTTATTAGGGGTGTACCTTTTCTTTTTTGAGAATCTTTTTTTTTGAGCATCAGTACAGACACAAGCGCTCATATATACGCGCATACACTCATCCCTATGAACGCACACACGCACACCCTACCCCTATGAGCACCTCCGAGAGACTGAGCCGGCATATCATCTTGAGATTTACGAAGTCATCGTAGGCGCCTCGTCGTCGACGGGAACGTCTCCTCCCACTGAAAGCGCATCGCCGGAAATTCTGAAATAAATCCAGGAATAATGCGAGCACCAGGATTTGAACCCTGGTGGGTCGGGGATACCACTGTCCACCTAACCAACTCAACCACAGGTTGATTCGCTTTTTGAGAATCTTTTGAGGGGTGTACTATACCTCACTTGACGCGAGGTGGAAGACAGCCTCGCTAGAGGGAGCCGGTGCTGGGCCGGCCCAACAGGGACGTGGGTCGTTGCATTGCCATTACGTCGATGTCAAACTAATTTTATTTTTTATTATTCCCTTTTATGTATATTTTAAACTAATCAAATTATAAAACTTAAACTTAGATATAAATTTAAATATTTGTAATTCTTAAAAAAATATAAGACAACCCAATTTTATAAACTGTTTATGGCTTTGAGAAAAAATGTTCATGACATCTCGCTTAGGCGAGCCATTATGGCTCAGCCCAGTTCGGGTTCCAGCGGAATTAGTTTTCTGTCGCTGTTTTCTATATTGTTTCTGTGTTGGTTTTTATCGCAGTTTTCTCTATTTTTGTGTTTCCTTTTACGATGATCTTCTGTTTTCTTAATTTTCCTGTTTATTATTTTATATTAATTTTCTTCGGTTTTATTTTTGGTTTTATTTGTTTTTCCTTTTATTTTCACTGGCTCTCTCCTTTATATTTATTTTTTTTTCTTTCCCTTTTTTCAACAAATGTCTACTTCTTTCACTGCACATTGTACACTATTTTTATAAATGTGTAATATTTTTCTGATACATATTGAATATTTTTAAATACATGATTACATTTTTTTAAATACATATTTTCATCATTGTTCCGAATACATGCTAAAAAAATAAAATACACTTTGCAGTCTTTTTAAGTGGTACAAAACTATGTTTTTAAACTAGTTGAACTTTTTTTTAAATATCATGAACATATTGTTTAATTGTGTGAACATTTTTGTAAATGTCATGCACATTTTTCGGACTCATGCAACACTTTTTCTTGAATTACATGAACTTTTTTTTA